TATATATATATAAAAATAAACATACATAATATAAATAAACATTGAAAATGACTCATCTAACGAGTTGAGAGTTTTATGAATCAGATGTCACATACAAATTTCTTATGAGCCAATCAATTTGATTAGATATATTTATAATCTCGAGTAATATGAGTCACACTTTTTATCCTACCTGGTGGGTTCATCTAGGAACATCACAGGGGGATCACTAACAAGTTCCAGTCCGATTGCAAGCCGCTTCTTTTGACCCCCCGAGAGATTTGCTGCTCTTGTATCTCTTACTGTATTCAAACCGAGTGATGTGATTATTTCTTCTACCTGAAAATGAAATGGTGAAACTACAGGCTCATGAGACTTGTCAATTTTGTCTCAGGGAATTAACAAACTACGTCTCTAGTCATAAGGTTCCAAATCGTACCTACTTATTATTATTGGTACAAAGATCGAACACAGAAAAATTCCTGCGATCTGACTGGACTGACCAGTGTTTGTTGCCACGTGTCGGGGTAACCGGTCTTAGGCTGCCTTTCCACCAGAGATGTGCGAGGTAGCGAGGCGGTGTGAGGATGTGTAGCGGCGCTGTGAAACGGTGTGATGTTTTCCACCGAAGCTATTCGAGGATGCGTCACGAACTCTTTTCAGCTATGCGCGGGCGGGGTACAGTGTGGTCGAGTGAGCGGTGGCGATATGCTAGTGTCAGTTAGTGTCATACTTTCAGTAGCTCCAGTTTCCTACACCGTTTTGCACACATTTCTCGGTATTTTGTATGTACAAATATTTAGCTCCGCTAACCCTTTTCCACCGGAGGTGCGCTAAGCGAGGCTAGGAAAATGAAGTAATCCTATTGGTGGATTTTTTTCTCGCACACTGCTTCACTACGTGACACATCTCTGGTGGAAAGGCAACCTTGGTACGAGTACTTTGTACCGACTTACATTGTTTATGATATTTTAGTAACAATAGAGCTCCTTGTGAAAGAGTTTGTTCGGTGAACTACTGCCACCTTAACCTACTTCTGCCGCATTCCAGTTTTGAAGGGTGCTGTTTAAACTACAGGCACATGAGACTTTTTAATTTTAGGTCTCAGAGTGATGGGCGCAGTGGCAGTGTCCCTCAGATCTTTGCGATTAAAGGTATCAGTGGCACTGCAACTGTTATGAGCAGGCGTGTCACTTACCACCAGGAACGCATGACTTGTTGATTTCTGCCTTCCTTATCATAATCAAAGAAATCGACTCTTTTTGCGAAATTGAGTTATTAACATATATTGAACCAGCGATACGGAATCTATAACTCTCTACTATTCTGTAAGCAGTGTTTTATATCTTATTTAGTTTCAGTTTTATTGTTAAGCAAAATCAAAGCAAAAAAACTTTAGGTGCTTTAGGTTATTTATGACAATTTGATATAATAAAAAAATAAATAAATAAACGAAGGGAAAGTACCGCTAATATGTTTTATTTACTAATTAATTAATAGGACCTATTGTTAATATCGTTTACATAACAGTCTTTAAAATGTGTCTATTATCATTAGCTTATAGTAACAAATGGCATGCTATATTATTGTTTAAACGCGATATAAATAAGTTCACGCGTATCATAGCTTGTAGTAATTTTAATGATTAGTATAATAAATACGTAAGCTATTGAGCTCTACTTAGATCCACTCTCAAAGTATTAAATAAGTTTTTAAGTTCAATAAGTATAGGGATACCAGAATACTCGTGAAATTTAAATCAATTATCATGCGATCTTCTCTATGTAATGCAAAAAAGTCTACAATTAAAGTCACGTGAACTGGTGTATATTAAAGTTGCTTTTATGCCTGTGATTGAAGACAAAAGAGTTTCTTTTATTCTGTTATTAATATTATTATTTATTATAGTCTATCTTTTTTGAAGACGGAGTAAAATGACACCTTCTTGCGCAAAAGTATTGCCCGCTTCGAGCAGCTAGTGATTGCAGTCGATAAATATTGTATCGACTATCGACTGAATAGTGGTCACGCTTATGGACTAATTAGCCGAACTTGTTTCATTTGAATCATCACCGACCCATTATTCATCCAATTACTGAGCACAAGCTCGTTTGAATTGTCAAGTTTTGTCAGTTCATACATACATACCCTGTATTTAGAACTGTTTATGAAAAATACAAAGAGGAGACATATTTTAAAGTCATTCATTTTAATTAAATATACATATATAATTCGACTATACTTGTTAAAATGTATATGTATACAAATTGATCTCGATACTAGTAGGTTAATAGGCGAAATAAGAATAAAAAAGACAATAACGCAATTAGTAATCATTACAATGTCATAACTTTCATAATTAAGTCATGTTTTGCAAAATTTTATCTTCTTTCACAGTCTATCGACAAAACTATCGACAACAACTACATAACTATTTAAAATTTTATGAAAACTGGCAACTCTACAAATGTCATTTTACTCCGTCTTCAAAAAAGATAGACTATACAAAGTCTGACCAAATTGAAGTCTCGTTCTTTGGAGGACTTGAGCCATCGAGCTTTGTTATACATATACTCGATGGCATGAGACTTTATATATGTTGAATTCATTCCAACATGTCTCCTTCGAGATTTTTATTATGGTAATAAAAAAATGTTCGAACCAGTAAGTCCACTTTGTTATATGTATCGGCGGCAATGTGTTATTGACATTTAGTTTCTTACATTACAAAAAAATATAAAAAATGTATATTATTATGTTCATGTTCCTATAAGGGATTTACCAAAGGGGATGTGTCTAAGAGATTTACCAAACTTATGCGGGACCAACTCTGCCGGTCAGAATAAGGTTTTACGTCCATGCGATAAAGCAAAAAGACCTTGCGCGTTTCGCTTCCGCTTGAACCACCTTCGCAAAACGCACGACATTTTCGCACATATCGCTTGAACATTGGTTGTAATTCCGTGTAGATAAATGTGGTGGCTCTCTAAGACGTTATTTCGGCTCAAAACGGTTCAGAGGTATCTAGGACAGACATGTCAAGATCACTTCTTTTTAATTTTACCTTTTCTCAAATTATAACGTTCAAATGGGCCACTTGCATCTGGGATTAAATACCTATTTCTGCCGCCAAGTAGTGATGTGACGGGTGCAGTTGCAGTGCCCTTCAGATCTTTGTGATATAAAGCTCTGAGAGACACTGCAACTGCTATGGACACGCGTGTCGCTTAGTCCTTTACCATAAGGCGTACGACTTGTTCGTCCCGTCTTGGTATCATAAAAAACGTGCGGACTATAATATTCTGTGCTTCGAAGCATGCTTATTTAAGTTTTACGTAGAAATATATTATTATATAGAATCACTTACTCTTCGAATTTTCGTCCCTTTATCAATATGGTTTCCGAGTTTGAGTTCAGCGGCGACGGTGAGTGATTCATGTATAGTGAGCATATCCTGTACCATGTCGTCTTGCAGGATGTAGCAAGACCGCCGACGGAACATGTTGTAGTTGCGTGGGCGCCCATTTATGTAGATGTTACCGCTGGACTGGTTTCTAGAATTGACAGTAATGATTCTATGAGAAAGGACAACATTTCGTGTTCATATTATCCATAGTAACCAATGTAGTATAATAAAAATGCTCTATTGCATACAGAAATTATATAAAACAACAAAAACATAAAATACAATGTACAAATAGGTGATCTTTTTGCAAAGTAGAACCCTTTGTTTGTTGAATGAAGTTAAGTATGTTATTATTATTAATACAAAGAAAGAACAAACACAATGAAAAATTCTTTCGATCCGACGGAACCAGTGTCTGTTGCCTCACCGTGGCTCTGGTTCTTGTCAAATTGGATCAAAGATCAATTTTCCATTGGTTTTGTTCGATCTTTTATCGATATTATCGATAAAAGATGGAACAAAAACATAACAAATTAATGGAGTATTTTTACAACAAACACCTATAATATGATATGATGATGCTATTCATTAAAATAAGTAAGGTTTAGTCTAGTTTTAGTTTGGGTTTTGTTTTGTCAAACCCAAAACAATTTGGCATTGCTTTTGGTTTGATTTAGACAATAGATAGAGTCATTTCGTATAGTAAAAATTGCGAAACGAAAAAGGTTCAAGTGTAGTCATTAACATAGTTTATACAACGGTGGTAGCTTACTGGGAACCTGTTTCTTCTCAATTAAGAGGTTAACACTGCAAATCTTTGTGGCGGCATGTAGGTACTGTAACCTAGGGTACGTAGCTTAGGTTGCGTAGCGAGTGGTACTTTATAAATATAAACTGGGATAATCTTCAAAACTAGATATTTATTGTATTATTTTACATGTTCACTTACGGAGGTTACTTCTAGATCTGCCAAGATGTTCTTTTCTCTATCCTATATATTTTTTAAACACATTCTAAATACAAAACTATATTCACTCAGTCAGTAGTTCTACTCATAGTGTAGAGCCTAGACTACAGTACGTATGACTACATTTTTTTTTATTTACGAACATTTGTGAACATTTAATGGCAATAGCTTTCGTTAACGGTAAAGGAAATTATAATTTTTTAATCATAATAGAGTGTGCACGCTGAGGAAGGGTTACAAGCCTTTAAAATCGTTTGAAATTGTACATTTACAATAGCTATCTAAATACCTATATTCAAGTAGATAATGGAATTTATATACATTTATATTCATATCAAAAAAATATGTCTCAATTTTCGTGGGATGAACCTATTTAAAATACCAGACAAGTTTCTTTAGGAACCCAGACAGAATTTGAAAATTAATGTTTCCTATTTCCATGCAAATCGTCCGATCGGAAAATGTAAAATCGGGTTTTAATTGTTTAGTTATTTTGTGTTAGAATAAACTCATAATCTCAGTACAGAGTACTAAAAAAACCGACCTCAAAAGTCATTCATCCCCTAATTTGCCACCCTTGGAGATGGAATATTTTCTTCAAATTTAAATCGGACCACTACTGAGGTACTCTCTATCCAACAAAAAAAGAATTATCGTGTAACATAATAGAAAGAGTTATCGTGTAAAATACATACAAAAAACATATAGTCGAATTGAGAACCCCTCCTTTTTTGAAGTCGGTTAATAAGAGAAAAAACACCTACGTTGATCATGGCGACATGCATTTGGAAAATATTACAGAAGGTTATTTAATTTTTTTGTAAGAAAAAAAAAAATAATGACTAATTTTATTTAGTATGTGGAAAAGCTGAAACTTATTAGTTTTCCATGGGTTCCTTCACAAAACTTGTTTAGTATCATGAGTAGAGTCAATTGACGAGATTTCACCGTAGAGTATGTTTCCTGTTATCCTGTATTTTGTAATTAACGCTTCAATCGCATTGATAAATTAATCAAGTATTCATATATATCTGAAACATCGCATATTTAACATTGTAAATTTTTTCTCCAATACATTCATAACTAAGTACATTATTTTACAAGAATCACGCAATTCCGCGTATTGCAAGGAAGTTGGGGAGGTCGGAATGTGTTAGAACGTTTCCTTATGATCGTTATTCTTAAGCCTGCATGAAGCAGTCAGGATAAAAAAAAACATTAAAGATGCTTATATTATTCTGCTCTTATAGTTGATAAAGTATCTGATTGCTTGGCTTTATTAGTTAAGCTTTTTCTTTGTTTCGTGACATTTGTAACTTCTTTTTAATTTGCATTTTTTATTTCATATGTCGAGTTCTGAGGTTGTCGCGATTGTTACACATAGGAAATGAAACTACACACATCAAAAGTGTCTAGGGATCAAGTACGTTTAAGAGTATTGCTGCAATTAGGGTTAATTATATTAACTTTTTTGTACCGCTATTGATACTTTTTAGTGAGATTTAACATTTAAATAAGGAATATTGTTTAAAATTCGATAATAAGAAGAAAATCGATTGTCAATGTGGTTTTGTATAAAAATGGGTTATAGCGTTTTGACAAAATCATTACAATATCTGCATCGGAACCGAAACAATTTACATTATTATGGAGAGACGACATCATTTAACCCGAGAAGTGATGATGCGAGCCGTCGGAATGTTGGAAGCTGGTTCCAGGCAACGTGCTGTGGCTTTCACTCTTAACACTACACAGAGCGTCATAAGTCGCCTCTGGACGCGCTATCGCATGACGGGCAGCGTGGCCGAGCGACATAGAGGACGATCTCGCATCACGACTCGCAGACAGGACCGGTATATCCAAAATACTGCTCGACGGAATCGTACCATGACCGCCATGATGTTGGTTACGAGGCTCCACAGCTCCTCAGGCTTGCTAATAAGCGATCAAACAATCCGAAATCGTTTACGTGAAGTGGGTCTGCGATCCCGAAGGCCGCTCAGAGTTCCACCTATTACACCCTGCAATCGCAGGACCCGTTTACGATGGGCTCGCGAACACAAAAACTGGGAGGAAGAAGACTGGCGCTATGTGTGCTTTTCGGATGAATTCCGCTTCGGTATGAGACCGGATACAAGACGTACTCGAGTTTGGACGTCATGAACGTTTGAGATATTGTCAGGAAGTTCATCCATATGGTAGGGGAACAATAATGATATGGGCCGGTATTTGGATCGGCGGATGAACCGATCTCATTTGGATCAGGAGTAACCTCAATGCTCAAGTTTACGCAGAGAGGATTGTTTCAGATGTTATCATCCCTTTGCGAGGCCAGTTGGGTGATTCATTTCAACTAATGCATGACAACGCACGTCCACACACGGCTAGAGTCGTAACACGCATTCTTGCCGAAGCTCGTATCAACGTTCTGCCGTGGCCTGCTCAATCGCCAGACCTCAATCCAATTGAGCACGCATGGAATATGCTTCAAAGAAGAGCTGTGCCGAGTATGCATACCGTACATACTCTACAACAATATTTTGACTTGTTACAAAACACATGGGCGGCCATTCCTCAAAGTGATTTTGATGAACTCATCTTAAGCATGCCAAATCGCTGTAATTGTGTGATTCGTGTTAATGGTGGAAATACAGATTATTAATTTTCTTATCTTTACAATAAAAATGAGCAAAATCATCATTTTCGCCATTTTTTTGTCATTTAATTGACGCCGTTAATTTGGGTTTTTTCCCACAATTTGCAAAAACATCAATTTTAGTTTATTTTAATTAAATATAGGGGTAAGCGGTTAAATAAAGCATAAGCATTAAAGTAAGAAGTCGTCCTGGAAGACTGGATTTGGTAAATATTGCTTAAATAATTTTTATTTCAAAAATATTCACTTGATCCCTAGACTCTTTTGATGTGTGTATATTTTCAGATATAAATCGCAGTATTAATCAATTAATCAACTTTTATTTATTTCTATAATTTCAATTTTAATATATTTCCTTTTAATTGATAAAATTTACTTTTAATTTGGCAAAAAATGAAATTGTTCAAAAAATATAAAATGTAAAAAAAACCGCCTATGGGGGGTTGCAGATCGCGTTTCGCTGATTCCAGACATGTTTATAACTCAATTTCGCTAAAAATTTTGATTACGTCAGTTATGATAAGGTGGGCAGAATTGTATATTATGTAGAATTTTCCATGACAGAGTAAAGTATATGAATTTTTTCATTTCAAGTTTGTTCTTTGCTACTCCGACTCTTGCGCCTTATTATTATTTTTTATTATTATTTTTTCTTTTTTGTTTTTATTATTCGGTTCACAAAACTGGATGAAATTCAGATGTAAACTAAAAGTATTTCATTAATATAGTGGTACGATAAGAATGTACCCTACTTGATGTGAACGCAACATGCTAAGTCAAATAAGTGTATAAACATTAGATGATTAAATAGATGACAGTAACGGTAAATTTGAATCTAATATTTTAAGAAAATTCATTAAAATCTGTCGTGTAGTTAACACGAAAGACACTTCCTAATTGAGATCCTAGCTGAGACCACAGAAGCAGAGAATATGTCGAAATCGAATCAAATACCATTGTAAGAAGAGATTAAAAACTTTAAGGGCTTGAAATTTCATAACTTATTTACTTTCCTAGTAAATATGGCTTAGGTTAGTTATGCAAATTATTGCATAACTAACCTAATATTTACAATATATTATATTTACAAAACTAAGGAAAGTAATTATACTTTCCTTAGTTTTGTAAGTTTTTACAATTGTATCATTGTTACACTGAATAAGCGACACGTTAAAATTAAAACTATTTTTATTAACAACATGCCGATTATATGAACCCAAACTGCTCTGGACCATCCTAATCACAAGCGACTTAGGCACAATTTATATTTTGGTGGAAGGGAACGGAAGCTAGTTTTTGCAGAGCAAACTTATTTCTGAAAAATGTCATTTCGGACTTCTGATATGTTACCCGAAAATAGGCATAGTGTAATAGGTAGGTAATTTTCATGGTAGTTTTAGCAAGGCAACATCGATCATTAGTGATTGAATGAATGAATGCCATCACTGCCATTCCACTGACACTCTGTTGAGATTCAACTGCCATTCCAACTAGAATAGAATTTAGCAGAATAACAAATAT